GAGCCGACAAGGTGTCGGCAGCGGAGTCATGTTCAACTTTCCTTGAAACGGTGAATCGTATTTTCCCCAAATTGAGTTTCAATCCAATTTTCTTCCCCAAATTGAGTTTCTGTCTATTATCTCGTTGTTCAGCCTTCTAGTCTCGTCCTTCGGGGCTATCTTAGGAGGAAGTCGAGCTAATTTTTTGGGAGGAAGAGGCGGGCGAGCGGATGAGAGTGGTGGCAGCGACGACGGTCGCAGAGATTGGTCATGCGGAGCAAGGGGTTTTGACGACAAATTGTCCGGCGAACTGAAGGACGAGAGAGTCGTTCCCTGAGTCAAGTAACGCTCCCTAAATCGTTCCGATGAGTCGGGCTTGTTTGTTTGGTGCTGATGCAGGACAGGTGTGCCAACGGCGAAGACGAAGTAGGGCCACTCCGACGTCTGAGGTTGTAGAGGGCAAGAATTATTCTTCTGAGCTTTAGAGAAAGTGACGCGGTTGAGATCTGAAGAGGCAATACTGAGTTGACTCCGGCCAGCAAACGGATCCGAACCGTAGAGACCAAACTCCGAGCTAGTGTGCCACGCGTCGCATCTAGAGTGAAGATTGGAACCCCCCGTGAAATCCCCACCGCCTATCAAACTCTCCATCCACTCATTCGAGTCGAACTCGCTGCCCGGCCCGCCACTAAAATCAGTAAACGGAAACACCCCTTCGACGTGCTGCTCCAATCTGGGAAACTGAAACCCCTCCTCCGCACCATCCGGCGACCTCAAATTCTGACTGAGAGAGATGAAATGTGCTTCGTGAATCTGAAATCAAGAACAAAATACGCACAAGTGTAATATTAAGAAGGAGATAGGATGAATTTACATAATTACCCTCTTCTCAGACGGCCAACTAACGGAAATACAGAGGAAGACTAAAATTGTCCTCGTCACAATAAGTGTGGGCAAAAATAACAAATTTTTTTATGTAGGACTAAACTTGTCCAAGCCATAACTCTAGGACCAAAAAGGAAATTAACTCTATTTACGTCCTCTGTTGGCCTCTTGAATAGTAACGGTGAGAGCCAGGGTTAAACTTATTAATAAGATGTAATTTGATCAGGGCCGGTTTTTGGTTTTGTGTGGCCCCGTTCTTAAAATAAATGAGGCCCTACCAAAAGCGTAATTTTTTTCTAATAATAATAAAAGGATTTTTTGAAAAAATAAGAGATGCGCACAAGCTAGAATTAAACATTTGACCTCCCAAAGGAAACACAATAATTACATGTTTCTACCATTCCTCCATGCAATCTTTTAAAATTAATGGTAATTTTTATGTCTTTTAATATCTTAATTAGCTAAGTAAAAATTAAATATTGGACCCTCTAAAATTTGGGGCCCTGTGCTGTTGGGCTGCTTGCACAGCCCAAAATCCAGCCCTGAATTTGAAAACTTCGTTTCCACATGAAGGGGCCATCTATCATACTAAGGGTGTGTTTGGTTCTATCCTGGGAATCGAAATCGAAATGGGAATCAAATATTTGATAATGGTAGTAGGTTTTGGTGAAACTATTGTGCATGTTTGGTAGTAGGGTGGAATTGGAATTATTATCAATATTGATGTTTGGTTATGTATAAATCTTTAATGGGAACAAAAATTTTAAAAATATAAAAACAAAAAATCAAGGTAATTGATCCTTGACATCCAAAACACCAATATAAACAACAACAACAACAACAACAACAACAACAAAAATTTAAACAAAAATTTAAAAGCTCAAATTGAAACTTAAAAATCAAATTACCAATATAAGACAAATTATTCTGTGGACCCGAGTCAAATTACCAATATATATGGCTAATTTTAATGATATCTATATTGATATGTTTTTCCAATAATATATTATTTTAGTAATTTGTAATGAACTTGCAATAGTAATTTTATAAACTTATAGTATTAAATTTATGTATCGAAAGTAATGACTTTATGTACATGTAGATTTATTTGAAAACTTGAAAAAAAAATATTAATATGGACATCATTTTAAAACATCATAGTTTTTTTAGTGATATATTTTTTACATATTAATTTTATTTGTATAAAATGAAAATGAGAAAAATAAATTTTAAGTTAAAAAATTTTAAAGAGAAAAATATAAATACTTTGGATGCAAGTATGCAACACCATGGTCCATGATATAATGAATTATTGTACAATAGAAGAGATTAGCCCAATAGACCAAATTTCCAAATAGGCAAATTCAAAAGAAAGCCCATCTGAAATTGGGCCTATGCACTATCCCAAATTGACCTCCATTTTCTTCTCATTTAAAATATCAATGGTTATAATGTGCACCAAGACCAAGGATCTTGTGGTCCACTGGTATCAAGTTGCTCTTTTATGTACGAGGTGGTGGGTTTGAGTTTTGAAGTTGTGTGGGGAGTTGTGTGTTATGTTAGGAGTTTATGGGTGTTCTATTATACAATTATATTGTAAATGAAATTTCCACCAAAAAAAAAAAAAAACACAAATACAAAACGATGTTATTTTGTGTCAGGCCTTGATGCACGATATAATTTGCCTTAAAATATAGGATAATCCAAGCATTTGCTATGAAGCAGAAATGTCGTTTACTACTACTATTATTATTATTATTATTATATTGTAAGAAAGACTTCATGGATTGGTGAATGATTTTACATTTAAATATACCCGAAGAAAAAGAAGAATGTCATTTTTCAAGTGAAAATTTGAATGATAAATTTGTTATAGACTATTATATATTTTGGTACAATATAATATATCATCATTTGATTTTAGTGTATTTTTATTATTTAAAATAATATCAATTAGTCATGCTCTTCCTTCTATTGTTTGTTTAGACTTTTTCTTAATATAATTTTTAAGTAATCAATTTCAACACTAATATACAAATTTTATAATTTCAAATAAATGTGCACTCCCAAATATTAGAATTGTTTATAATTCCAACATTAATTTTATTATTTAAATATATAATACAAAATTTATTATCTCTAACCATATCATTAGTCTGACGCATGCATTACATAAGAGCACAAAGCTATGAAGTGTTCCACCAAACAAATAAACAATACTACTTTATCATTGGGTCAACATGTACTGCAAAAAATTTTAAATTTATTAACAAAAAGAATTAAAGATAAATCAATAAAATTTATAAAAATTTAATTCATAGGTATTCCAGTATTGTCCTGTAATCGACTAAATCTTTAATCATTAAAAATCAATGCAAAAAAATGTTACTAAGACCTTACACATTGAGACTAATTCAAGCTCAAATTCGAGATTAATTTTAAGAAGAATGACCAGAGATCGAGTCTCACCAGCGGCAGTCTCCCAGATACTCTGTTGGGGCGGTGTGTGGGGGGCCCTTAGGGTTGGGGTTCAACCTTGAGAAGAATTAATTAAATAAAAGTATGACAAGTGGTGTTAAAAAATAAAAAAATAAATAAAAAATTTAAGACTAGTGATTTTGTTCTCCCAATCATAATCATAATAAGTTAATAATCCTTGGAAGCATGTGGTGAATAGGAAGGTAGGGACATAAATCTAATTTATGCTAAATGTATTACCACTCAGAGTAGTTTATGAGAAAGAATTCAAACCTTTTGGGTGATTTGTGCTCCTTTATGATAAACAAGTAATTATAATAAACCCTAAATAATTAAAAAATTAAAAATTATTCTCTTTCTCATCCTTTTACTTTAATATTGTGATTTATAAGTATATGATATATAGTGTTTTTGGATCCAAATTAAACAAAGTCAGATTATTATTTCTCATACATGTCAGACTCTTTAATCCATATTTCAAAACAAGTCAAATGGAGCCCACAAGCCAATGTCAGAGTGCATGGTGCTAGAGCACGTTATAGACATGGTGTTTTGTAGATGTATCAAAGGCCTGAACTTTCACTGATCCAGTCACGTTCCAAGTTGATCGACAAATCAACTTGCTCGAAACCTATTCAAAAACATTCTTTCTATATTTAGTACTTCATTCACGGAATGTCTTTCTTTGATTTGAATCAAGTGTAGTTGATATATCTTATTGACAATAGATTAATTTTAAATGGGAAGAATGTTGGCGGCCGGGGATGCCATTATATATATATATATATATATATATATATATATATATATATATATATATATATGTTTCTTTAAGAATTATGAAATGCTAATAATAAAAACAAGAGATATGCACTCAAGCCACTGCTTTTGACCATTGCATGGCTTGTAATCAGTAATCACATAATAATAATCAGAATAAATTAAAGCAGAGAGCATAGAATCTCAGATGACAATTTTGCAGGAAGCTATTGATAAACAAGCCAAGAAAACCTACCCCCCTTTTGTGGTCCTGAAATGAGATTGACTTGCACATCTCAAAAAAAAAAAAGTTGTTTATATACCCTATGCTACATTCTTGGAATAATCAAACCAAAAAAAGTTGCATTTCACCAATCCTAAACCCTAGGAGACAGAGAGGGATGGAGGGAGGCAATTCGCATTGCTTTAGTCAGGCTATAAAAATATTTATGACAAAATATGAAATATAATCTATTAGATAAAATCATTTCAATACAAAAGACACTATATTCATAAATATTTTTTAATTTAATTTTTTTTTAGTTAGATGATAAAGTATAATACTATAATATATATAAACTTGTATACTACATTAAATAAATGATTCATAAAAAGTATGCTAGTGAGATTCAAACATATGACACAAACTATTTAATATTAAGTTTAGAGTTTCAACCAACTAAACTACCCAAACATACGTAGTAGTAATTTATACATAAATATAGATTTTATATATAAGTTAATGCTATAGAGATGACTAGCTCCTCCTTTAGTTATGGTTGTCATGTCATAATTTTTTAAGTAATATTTCGAAAGTTAGAGAAAGGGGGGACGCATGAAAATTAAAAGTGAAGAACGAAAATGATAAGATCAGTATAGTCGAGAAACCATTTCAAAAATTAACTCAATGATGTTGATCTTGTAATTTAGCTGTCATAATAAGCCAATTAATTCTAATCTGCTGCATAATCTGTTTATTGTAATGAAAAACTAAACACTGTTGCATATATAGCAATATATGAACACAGAAGACAGGAAAGCTGAGATTGCAGCAAAAAGCTAATAACAGAGAGAATGGAAGGCCAGAAATGAAGGCATTTGATTGCAAGGAGCCAAAGAGACATTCTGTAACATCATGCCCTTTGTTTGAGGGGTGACAAAGAATCCAATACCAAAAAAAAGGTTTATTAGATAACAGTAGGCCACCCTCAAGATTTGCAAATAAACCTAGTCTTGATCCCACATGAATGTGTGTGTGTGGTGAGGTCCACCTGTGGATGAAACATCTGTTGTCGGGGCATTTTGCATCACGTTGTGGAATTGGAGGTGGGCGGTGTTCTTGGCGTGGCAGTCTGCACCAGGCTTGGTTTCGATTTCGTGGGCGTTGAAAGGGTAGTTGGTGAGGCCCCCGTAGTGGACGAGAGAGTGGGGGTGGGGGATAGCCCCGGGCTGCACCACGTGGCTCAGGCCGATCTCCCTATTTACAGACGAGGCTGATGACAGAAGAGAGAGAGCACGATCAGAGTCCACGATTTGGGACATTAATCCAGCAGCGAAGAACTTCTGGCTGCTGCTGCTGTTTCCCTGATCAACGAGCGGTTGATGGGAGATCGAGGACGCCTCGCTGCTGCCTTGCATGAACTTAAACTGGTTTTGGGTGTCAATGTAGTTTAAGTGGGGTTGGGGTTGGGATTGGTTGCTGTACAGAACCACATGATCATTCTCAGCTTTCGAAAACCCTGCCCAGGTAGAGCTAACAGTGGAAGTTGGAAACATTTGTGAACTACTAAATGACACAAGTTTAGCACCTGCAATTACAGTGCCTAAACCATCAAACATTAGATTACCAGGACAGACCAAAATGTTCCAACTAAAATCTAACCTTGTTGCCCAGAAAACAGCATTCCTGAACTTTTCGAAAGACTGTCGGGCTGAGGCTTCCTTCGACGCCTGTTATGACCATCCAGCCGTTTCCTGCAGCTCCGTTTTACCTCATCAAACTCCGCCAAAGAATGAAACCTGCAAACCAGACCACCATCAAGATTTCGGTTTCATTTCATAAACGGGGTCTTACTGGGGGAAAGGATCAAATAATGTTGAGCATATAACCATTAATGTGCAATCCAACTATCAGCTTAGGCTTTTTGGTATCAGAGCCAGACCAAAGGTCATGTGAGGGGCGTGCTCTATATGCTCACACGCCCCCTAACCATTAATGTGCAATCCAACTATCAGCTTAGGCTTTTTGGTATCAGAGCCAGACCAAAGGTCATGTGAGGGGCGTGCTCTATATGCTCACACGCCCCCTCACGTGTGCGGTGGGTTCCAAGCAACACGTGGACCGGTAAATCGTAGTCGCTTACGAGTGGCGCTGAGATTCGAACCCATGACCTTTGGTCTGGCTCTGATACCAAATTAAAGCATGTGCTCCATCTCAACTAAAAGCTTAAGCTCATAGTTGGATTGCACATTAATGGATATATGCTCACAGAGCATATAACCATTAATGTGTTGAGAAAGAAAACGAGAAACGAAAGAGCATCATATCATCACCTGCTGCACTGTTGGCAGAACCGTTGCTCTCGACCCCCAATCGTGACCTTTGGGGTCTTCGAGTGGACCTCGCAAACTTTATGCCTTCGATGATACTCCCTGCACCGACTCAGGTCAGCGTTACACCCATCAACCAAGCAATGAGCTACCTGCCCGACACTGCCTGGCGCCTTGGCCCTCTTCGATGATCCAGACAAAGATGACGATGATTCCATCACACTAAAGCCTTCCAAGTTCCAAATCCTATAGGTTTGGCGATTTTCTTTAGCTGCTCACTCTGCCTCTACTAACACTCCTAAGTTTCTCGATCCAAGTCAAACAAGTCTATATGTAAACACCAAGAAGTTGCAAGCCAATTTCCAAAAAAGTAGTCGATAGAGACACCTCGGGGGGGTTTTATTTCCCTTCAATCAAGTTCTTTTCATATTGCAGACAAGTCCTCTCAATCACATTCTTGATTTACTCATCAACCTAATGTTAATAATACCAAATCAAAAGGCACGCTTAGGAGGATTTGGATAAGCAGACATAAAAGAGTTCTATTCTAATGATTCACAATCTTCAACCTTTGTCCTTTACTTTGAAGTATAAGACAACCCCAGAGTAAACAAACAACATATGTATGTATATATGATTATACCAGCCAAGATGACAAATGCTTTAAGATATTAAGTCATTTGGATTGAGAGCAAAGTGAATATTAATTGAATTAGCTCTAAAATTAGCTATATCTCAGAATGAAAGCTGACAAGAGCTTTAATTTTATATTTCAGGCTTATTTAAGAAACTCGAGAGTGTCGGTAGGAGATCACAGTCTGAACATATCAGCCATTTAAAGCAAGCTATCTACCTGCCTGGAAGCAAGAAATGCTATGTACTTTGAAAGAAATTTGAAAAGTTCATCACACAAGAAGAAATCTTCAGCCAAATAATACAATCAACCACAACAAATTGCATAACTCACTGGCCATAATTTCAAGTTAGGCCATTGATACAGAAAGTTGATCTAATTGAAATTTCAATTCTGGAAAATTTTTCTGCTAATTGATACAGAAAGATGAAATTAATGAAAACCCATCTCTGTCCATATCTGCAAAGAGGGAGCAGAGCTAAGGAAAGCAACAGTTCTCTACCAAGAAAGAACTTTGAAAAAGGAAAAAAACAGAAAAGAGAATAATTAGCAAGCTTTGAAACCCCACTTTGTCTGATTATCAAAAGAGAGGAAGCTCAAAGCACTAAATCTTGCAAGTCACAGTTCTTACCACAGAGCTGGGAAAAGAATAGGAAAAAAAAAACAAGAAAAAAGAAAGGTCATGACTTCCTTTTGTGTACACTTAACTTGATTGTTATAACAGTAGTAAAACAAAAATACCCATTATTATCATAAAAGGTTGGAAAAGTTCTTGTACAAGTGGGGGAGAAAATGAAAACAAAACAACAGCACCAGAGAAAAGGCAAAGAAATCCATGAGAGCATGGGCAGTGAATATACCTCAGAAATGAAGCAGGGGTTAGCCAATAGCCCACAGCTAATTAGGTTCTTTCAAACTAGTACAGCAGTGAAATAGCAGTGGAGGCCACCAATAATGCACCAAGATATACTAAAGATAAAGACTTTGAGCAAGCAAGGAGGAGGGGAAACAAGTAAACATATATGCATCCACAATCACAAGCAGCAGCAGAGATTTGAGCTAGAGAAGTAAATGAGGAGGGGAAGCTTACAACTTACAAGCAATCAAAAGGAGCAGAAGACTGACTTGGTCTTCTCAGCCATTCATTCTCTGACAAAGACTCCATCATGGATCAATAAGTGGCAACTGGCAAAAGCTAGATGGTTGAAGCAATAGTGTATTCTGAGTGTGTTGTGAGTGTGGGGTCAGGGCTAGGGTGATAGTTTGGAAAAAGGCTACTACACTATTTTGGAGGTATATATGACCATTGTATCAAAAATAATTGGCAACTCTATTGGATAATATATTCCTCAATCCTCAACATACATTTTATACACAATAGAGAGAGGGGAGAAAGGGGGGAGGGGGGGGGGGGGGGGGGTCCCCTACTCACCTACATAGAGATGTGCAAGATTACATCTTTGTTTCACCAAAAAAAAACTAATGCAATTTGCAATCTAATCATTTTTTAGGGTGGGGTGGGGGGACAAAAGAGGGGAGGGCAGATGGGCAAAGAAAGGAAGAAAGAAAGAAAGAAATGAGAGGTGTCATCTCCACTGTTTTCAGGCTAATTATAGGTTTGTACTACGCATGCTACAAGTGAAGTGATATAAAATCTGGGTAATTAAGAGGGGATTAGTATAATTGTTTAGGGTCAAAGAGAAAGAACAAAGACCCAAAAATGAGTGGCGGGGAAAGAGACAGGGTGTTAGTAGCTTTCCAACTTCTCTTTTTTTTTCTTGGGCGATGGGGAAGAGTGAGAGAGAAGTATGGAAACGTCACAGCTTTGATGATGATGTATTTGTTCTCTTTCTGTAGCTGATAATCTTCCCTACAAAGACGAAATTAATAGTGAATTAGTAAATTATGGTCGGAAATTCAAGTGTGATTATCCATTATATCGAATATAATTTTCACACTGTGATTATCAAGATTCAATTTTGTCTCTTACCCACGATCGACGCTACTAACTGAGCTACACTGTGATTATCAAGATTCAATTTTGTCTCTTACCCACGATCGACGCTACTAACTGAGCTATCACCAAATATATATCTTAGCTCTGTAGCTGCTAAAGTGCTAATCTTACTGTAGAGTTGCATGCTTTCTTGACAAATTTTACAGGGAAGAAAGGGAAATACTTGATTGGTTTCGCTGTGGGTCCCGTTTATATTCTCTGTGCTACCGTCCGGCCGGCGGCCACCCGCCGGTGAAATCAGCAACGCCACTTGTTCAAATCAAATCTGTTACATCTGGAAATTAATCCAATCAGAAGATTTGTTTTCAAATGATTGACCTAATTTAAACAGTATATAAAAGTTTCAATTTCGAGAAGGCGATGAGTGATGACGGGTGGTCTGTCTGGTGGACGACGACGACGCAGAAAAAAAACTATTGAAAAAAATAATTATTTATTATTATAATATATTTGGCTACTACGGAGTATAATACAATTATTATCTTTTTTATAAAATAAAATCCTCTGTTTTTATTTATAATAATCAATATTCTTACTATTTAGTATTATAAATTTTTTCTTTAAAAATTATGTTGGTATTACGCATTGGTTTGTGTTCGTGTAGTTGATTTATGCTAATAATTATAATGTGTTGATATTTTATTATGACAAAAATGTTCATATATATGTAATAAAACTCATATAATGTAGACTACATGCATATTAATTTATTTAAATTAGTTTACATGTTTTATAATAATAGTGCTAGTAATTTATAGAGTAAATGTTGTTTCATTCACACATGGATTTACTTTCAAATTGGGTTGAGGTCAAATTAAAATGAAAATGAAAAATTCAGTTTCATAACAATCTATCTAATTACTAATAAAGTAGAATCACTTAGAGAGAGATTGATTTAAAATTAATAATTGCTATTAAGTCCAATTGGTTGAAATTCATCTTTAATTTATTGTTATTTGTTCCAATTCAATTGACCGTAATTATATTATATTATTTATTTTTATTTTTTGGTAAATTTGCATCCCTCATAGGAGGGGACTATTTAATACGAAGCGAAGGAGAGTGATTGGCGTCAGCAAGAAGGAGGTCAGGAGCTTGAAGCAAAATAAGCGTACCCCAATTAATGGTCTGGCTAGCCGATTCACGTACTTGTTACCCTCTCTAACTATGTGAGATATTCGAATAATGGTGAACCTTTTAGCGAGATCAAAATAGTATTTGATGAGAATATTATATTATTTACTATACACGTCATTGATGTACAAAAATTTAGTTTCACTATTTTTTCTCATTAATTATTTATTTAATCGTATAATGCACAACTTTTTACTAGTACCGGGTATAAAAGAATTGAAATTACTTGTGGTCCACCGAAATGTACTGTGAATATAAATTTATAGGCTAGCTTTGTAGCTAGGTGATGTTTGGGTGTGTTTGAGGAATGAGAGATTGAAACGATGTGTTGATGAAATTGGTTTTGTAGTTATATATATTATATATTAAATATTAAATTCCTCTCTATAAATATCATTTTCAATTCCCTTGTTTTTCTTCTTCTATGAACGCACATGCAAAGTCGCATTTTTCTTGCATCTTGTGGAAATTATCCCTTCAATTCGCATTTTTCTAACCCTTGATTCTTTCTCCTACAATATTATTTATATCAAATCTTTTATGTTAAACATATGTAAATAAGGTATTTCAATAACTACAATGTAATAGAGTCAGTAGTATTAAAAAAAAGTATTTTAATAAAAATTATATATATATATATATATATATATATATATATATATATATATATATATATATAATTCAGTTCTCGTGCGGTTGGGTGCGTCCCGTGTGATTGTGCAGTTTAATCTGAGCCATAGATCTTGCCTAAATCAACGTCCAGGATTAACAGTGATTAAAAAAAATGTGCGGTGACAATTTGGTCTTTTTGCATATAGGTCAAATTTAAGGTGCGTGGTTTTCCTTCTTATGGTGCGTGGTTTTTGTGCTTAAGGTAAGTGATTTTTGTACTATGTGCTTAAGGTGCGTCAGGTGTTGAAAACTTAAGTGGGTCGATCTAAAGCTTTAGGTACATGATTTTCCTTCTTAAGGTGCGTAGTTTGTGTGCTTAAGGTGGATCAGTTGTTGAAACTTAAAGGTGCGTGATTTTCCTTCTTAAGGTGCGTTGTTTTCTTTCTTAAGGTGCGGGTCAGTTGTTGAAACTTAAGGTACGTCATTTTAAAATTTTAGGTGCTTGGTTTGTGTTCTTAAAGTGCTTTGTTTGTGTGCTTAAGGTGCGTCTTTTTGTTTAAACGCACAACCGTACGAGAAGTAATATTTACACATGATCCCTTCCTATATATAGACACACACATACACACACCATCAGTTCATTAAATATTATTACATGATTTGGAAGAATATTATTACATGATTAAGAGAAAATAATTAATCACTAGTTAGAAATAATTCATAATCTCTTTTTTTTTTTGGGTACATAAAAAAAAAAAAAAAAAAAAAAAAAAAAAAAAAAAAAAAAAAAAAGGATAACTACATAGTACATACTTATCCTCTAGGTTTTATCCCTCGTTCCATTTAGGTTGAATTCATCTCTTATATATCATCATTGATCCAATCGAATAATCCATAATCTCTAAATATCTATTATAGGGAGTATTATTTTTTTAGTTGCTTTTAAATATAAAATGACTTGTCAAGTGTTTTATAGTTTGAATAATATGATTGTTGATTTCCATGAGAACGGTTTCAGATTTGAATATGATTTTGCTTAGACAAGATAATTATGACATCCAAAACTTACTCCACAAACCATAGAACTAAAAAGAATATTAAAAAGAAATAAAGAAGATTCCTCTTGTGAGACTGCCAACGAAACAGCCGACTCGAACCTATAATTATTGAACCAACCTACCATCCAAAGTTGCCACTATTTTTTTTTTTTTTTTTTTTTAACTCGAGTATCCCTATTTTGCCAGACTGCATTTTGGACCTATGAACTAGCCCCAACACTCAAGAAGCAAAATTGAGTAAAAAAGGTAAACCAGTTTAATTTAAGTTATCTCCGACTGAAACTATAAAGGTTGGGATTTAAACTCGTGAATTTATATGATTACAAGTTTATATTCTTCTTTCTAAAAGGTTGAACCGTAATCCTAAGGGCTTCCACACCCCGATCCAACAGAGCATCCGGGAAGATGTAAATCATGGTAACTCAACTGAACATGAACCACAGAGACTATACATTTGTTTACTGCGCACAAGGAGCCCCCCTCACTTTGAGAGGTTGCTCACACACTGCCGCTGGTGAGACTCGATCTCTGATCATTCTTTTCAAACTTTACCCCTATGACTAATTGAGCTGCCCATGCGGGCTACAAGTTTATATTCTTAGCTAACTTGGTTGGGGTTATTCCGGGCTGCGCCACTGATCTTAATTCAATGTTATACAAACTAGCTATGTGTTGGTAGCCAACCACCTGGCATGCATTTCACCAGAAAAGGTAGCCATTTAAGCTCATCTTTAACTAACCTATCTACCCTGCATGCTGTAAATGATGAAAAGCAGGCAGCAGAAGACACCAATTATTGGAGCAAGGATATGGGGGGGGTGTCTTCTCTGCAAAGACCCCTCCACCCCTCCCTGCCGTGATCCATAAATTTGGACCTCAAATCAAAGTCGCACACGAATGATTGATACCCCAAATAGAGTACAATGAATGATTGACAATTGGAAAGCTCCCTCCCTAATTAAAGACGTATGTTATCATCCAAAGTAATCAACAGGGGCCGCCTAGCTAGCTAGCTAGCTGCTTTTAAGTGGAAATAAAGAGGGTTGTTCGGTACATTTCAATATTCATGAAGATTAAACAACTGAGATTCGAATTCAAACTTATTAATGTAATTATAAAGTTGGAGGTTGACTTTTCAATGTGTTCGATCGCCTAGTGTTGTGTACTAATAAACTATGTCTACCCAAAAATATTCAGGAGTCATTTTCAAACATTCGAACATCATCTTTTTAGACGCAACTATAGAACTTTGGAAAGGTGGCTAACCTTATAACAATCATGGAGTGCAGAAGATATATACAAACAAGAATCATGCGTATGTTGTGACAAATATGGTTAGAATCTCTTCAGCATGCTATGATGGTGTATCATTATCCTAGTTTGTATGTACAATTATATAAATATTTTAAAAATAACTCTTTGTTTCGTTGGTGTAAACACAAATTTTGTATGTCAAATTCAGTATTTTGGTTACAAAGAGTATCAATAGTATATAAGATATATGGACAATCCTCATTCTTCAACTTAACTACAAAGAAGAATTTCGTTAAAGAACCTCCGAACTCAAATGAATCATTGATAAATATTCATTTTTACTAAAATTCATTTTTAAAAAATATATTTAAAAATGAATCTTCATAAAACAAACATTCAATGTACTAAAAATGAACATGCAGTATACTAAAAATAAATTTTATGTCAGTTGATTCACAATATAATTATTGCTAAAAAAACATGTCTGGTTGTACTGAGGGGCAACCGAAAAAGCTTTTTTTGACTAACTACCTGATACAAATCGAGACTTTAAAACCAGTATAGTCAGCAGAAATGTTGGCACTACCAATAGAAGTAAACATTCAGCATTTTACTATTGGCAAGGCAAATGAAAGCCAGTATGAAGTCTGAGATAAACAAAGAATTTTTTAAATTAAGGTTGGCAATCCTCTTATTCAACCTTTGTTCATCTCCCCTGTGCTATCTACCCAAGTGTAGACAAAATATTTATCCTTGGCTGCTAAAATTGACCCTATAATATGTATGTTTTGCGGCTCTACAAAATTCAGCCCAGTGAACAACGAGTTACTGAATGGGCGCCAGTGGCTGATTAGGCAGCAATAATCGACATAGAAACACTTCTTTCCGCATGGATTAAGAATATATATATCTTACGATATTACGTGCACACACCTACTTGAAAGTCCGAACTGCTGCGTGGCTTCTTGTAATAAATGCAGCACTCGCAGATAGTGTGCGCCCAAATGTAACGCCGGCATTTAGAATCAGAGGGCTGTTTCCACTCGCCATTCCTACCACATCTGATATTCCTCGATGGATCTAAAAGAAGTCCACTCGTTAAGGGCCAACCTTCGGTAATTACAAAGATAATACTAGAGGAGTTATCTATACCTTTGCACCAGAGGGAGAAGAGGGCACAGCACCATGCGGGGACCGCTGCAAAAGAAAGAAATACACAAGTTTAAGATTTTCTTAAACACTGCCAAAAAGAAAGGAACCAAAATGAGTCCTGGAACATAAAATGATTATTTTTGTGAAGTGGATTTAAAAGGAAAATTGGCATATGATAAAAAGGGTATCAAGAATTTTTATTTTTTTTTTCACTTCTTATTGTAACCTAAGTCCAATTATTTTTAATCTTTTACTGATTGTCCTCCATCGACTACCATGATCCACCAGGAGATTAGGCTTTCCCCAAGCTTTTTGATTTTCTCTCACTACAGTCAAATTTGCTTTTTTTACCACCCTGTTTAAATTAACACATCTTTAAGAACTTATAAATCATTCACTAACCTTCTGAAATCCATTAGATGCAGATGGAGATGGTGGTTCAACAGGTGAATTGGGAGACAAGGGCTCAACCACCAAAGGCTAGGAAAAATTTAACAAGGTCAATAATAATAATTAGTACTTGGGACTATATATCCAGACAAGAATCCATTCTGCAATATAGAGGGGTGCCCTGATTAGTAGTAACCAATTTGGTTTACACATGTATAGGATTTGTACTTTATCCCTAATTAGACAAAATTAACAAGCACGTATAGTGAACCGCCCCCGCCCCCATAATCCTGGCAGAGGGGAAATTTTACCATAGGAAAAAGAATGCAAAAGAGCAAACAGGGAGAGTCCATTTTTATCAAAGACGGGCATCCTCACTTTTCATTTTTGACACCATCAAGTTGATACTTGTTTCAGTCTATGAAAATGGTTTGAAAATTTCGAGTCCATTTTTATCAAAGACGGGCATCCTCACTTTTCATTTATGACACATCAAGTTGATACTTGTTTCAGTCTATGAAAATGGTTTGAAAATTACCACTGTTGAAGGAGTCCATTCTGGCAATTCAAGGGCAGGCCTTACTGAACTAGATGCAGATGCCTGAGGATTCATAACAAGTAGATATTAGAAAATCAGCACAACAAAAGAAAAAACATCACTAATGGAAAATATTATTTTTCATGCCTCAATCTGTTCCATGGCTCTTCTATTTTCCAAATTCCTTGCAACAGCAACCAACTTTCCGAGGCCAAAGTTTGTCTCATTCTACACATACATCAAATACAACACCACCATGGCTATTAGGCACCAAAAACCAATTGTATTATTAATACTGAAATTTGGCAGTTAGTTCAAATTATACCTGTTTCCCTCCTATCCTACTAATTTTGGTCTCCTGTGTGACATAATAATTTCAATTAGTTTGCATTCCCATGGGTAAATAGAAAGAGTTCAACACAGGTGGCACAAGGCAAAGAAAAACTACCAAAAAAATATAAATTACCAGATTTTGGACAACAAGATGAACTGATTGTAAATCATCACCGATTGCTCTCACCTCCCCTCGAACTTCAGAAACCTAAATGATATAATAAGGTTGTGTAACGAAGAGGAAACTTTCCATGAAACACAAGACAAGTAACTAAAACTTTATAGAACCCACCTCCTCCTTAACAGCAACTGTATTGTCACCACACTCATCTATTTTGGAATCAACGCGGTCAATACGTGATGATAAATGCCGTTTTGTTGCCTGGAATACATAAGAAACCCTTACAAAGAGAATGCATATGAATTTACGATGCAACAAGCAATAGTTCTCAATCAAGAAGTAAGTTACCAACAAAAAGTATTAGTTTTTTAAATATTTTTTACATGACTCTAGTCAATTTAACTTAGAAGCCTAGCTTGAAAAAACCATGTTTATTAGTTTGCGCAAAAACATTTTCAATTATCTATACAGATACGTTTGAATGTAGGTATTCATATATGTTTGTATAGAATAAATGGTAATATCACGTAGGAATGAACTTGCCGCAATTGATGTGTAAACACTCTCAAGCTGTTTGCTCACAGTAGAACAGGCATCAGTTAAACCACGCCTGGTTGCAAACATCATATCAGGAAGCTTCCAACCCTGAAATACAACACTGTATTCAGAATGGCACCATATCTGGAAAATGCTAAACAAAGAAGAATCTAAAAATGAAAAAAGTAAATAGAAAAGAGGACTTGGAGATTTCACATTAATATTAGTCAAGATTAATTGCCAATCCAAACAAAGTCATGAACAATTTCGTTATCTAAATGGAGTTCCCAATCCAGTTCACCAACATGCAAGATGCAATGTACAACCACATGGCATATCAAAGGAAGAAGGTATTGCTATTGTTCGAATGAAGTCATGAACAATTCCATTATCTAAATGGAGTTCCCATCCAATTCATCGACGACTCAATGCGATAAAATGGAAGTTAGGGTGTTCTAAGCGTGGAAAGACTAAAACTAATCAGTAGTACTACAACTACGAGAAATAAAGCTTAATAACTAAACCAGACTATTAAAACCACAAGGACGATCCATATAACATGGCTAAATTACACTAGTCAGAACAAACATCAAGAACCTGCCAAAAGAAAGCATTACAAATAACCAGCATTTATTTGCATAATGACTTCCCATCAGGAAAGGTCAATGAATTGTAACTAAAACAGCACCACTCCATGAAAATTTTGGAGAGGGTGCAAATGAAGACAATATTCTGAAAGGCATATGAGATGCAATGTACATTACAATATCACATGGCACATCAAAGGAAGGTATTATTATTTGAGAAATTAAATATATAATTATGTACATTCCTGATAATAAAGTAAGCATTCACAAGGAAAATTTATTGAGAATAAGCTAGAAAGGAGCACCTTCCACCAAAGATATCCATATCCAACCACCACAACAACAACAATCATGCCATATTTGCCACTTGAACCTGCAAAGAGTTTTTGAAAATTAAATAAAATCATGGAGCAGTACGGTCTCCAACACGGCAACACTAGGAGGTGGAGTAGAGGCTTGTTCGTTAGCATAAAAGTCAGAATGCCATTATCACTACAGGGAATGAGGCAAGTGAAAAGTTTTGCCATCTTTCTTGCATTGATTAACAGCATCCACAGTTCAAAAATTACTATAAGTGAAACCTTCAATACTGACTATAACTTCTTTGAGGGATCGTAAAGACTGAGCAATGTAATAACAGGTGCGTGGAAACCAACTCTTTCAAGGGTTGGTTAAGATTCAAAAATGTAAAACTAGATGTGCACGAAAACTAATTGTTTTAATAGATAATTTGTACAGACCTGAACCACCTGAAGTAATAATAGTTACAGATCTATTCGATGCCAAGAGTTGCAGCTCCTCCCTCAAGCTATTGACCTGTAAAGGTAAATATAAATTCAAAATCCTATAATCAATACCTTAATGAGTCTCAACAATATTAGGTAAACGTTCCTAACAGAGCTTAGCAAGTGTATTGCAATGAAAAATCCCTTCAATACAAAGCTTCTTCTGTGGAAAAAAAAAAGTGTAAATATTCACAAAAACAAGAAATAAAAATTAAGTTCTTTTTCTTTTTATGGATTATGGGTGAGCATTTTGCCCAAGGGAATGGGTTTTCACCATATGAGAGACTTAATTTGTAAAATTCAACAAGCCATGCTTCCAACCTTTAACCAAATTCCACAACCACAGATCAAGGAGAATACTTTTGTTTAGGAAAATTGCATTTTTCAAACCTTAATAGTGACGCACAGTTAAAAATAGCTCCCTAATTTGTAATGTCAAGCAAATAATTTCTTCAACTGTGTCCAATCTTTGCATATGTGGTTCCTTGGGGATATAGTCATTCATTCCTTAATGGTAAGATTTCAAAACCTAAGTTTAGAAGGGTACTTTGGTAAAAACTCTTTCCTCCTTCACCTGAGGGACCAAATTTGACAAAAGTGTACACAAATGAGGGATACATTGCTTGTAGCATCACATTGGGAACCAATTTGACTAGGTCAGAAACACTAAGCCACCAAAAATGCAATTTTCCATTTTTTATTTTTTGGTCAGTGATCATAATTCACAGATTAAGGAGAATATATGCATAGGTTTAACTTCATGGTAACATAATGCAAATTTAAGACCATACTTTGCATAATCCAACGAAGTAGATGGAAATGTACCTTTACAGACTAAAGAAAAATGCAACAATAACACTTACAGAAAACAAGAAAGCACATTACAAACCTGCTTCAGCAAAGCATCACTATGAGGCTTAGGATTTGAACTTTTTGAATTATCTTGCTTGATTTGTTTCCATAATATCTGCAACAAAAGAAAATACTGAGCTGCCACGCAAAACTTAATCAACTGTAATAAATAAATAATCAAGGTAAAACTTAAGTTTAAAATAGCCAGGAATTTTAATGCAGAATTGCAGAACTAGTAAGCACACCTTAAAGGCGCCTGAGAAATAATCACCTATACTCGATTCTTTTGACAGAGCTGATACAACAACACCTGAAAAAGCACACTTGATTCAGGCTTCGGCATGCTAAAGAAGAAGAATATTGATAACATTGCTAGAAGAATAATGATTCAAGTTGAAAGGCAATGCCTTCTCGAAGTAAAAATAGCAGTTAGAATAAATTAACTATCTAAAACTGAACTCATGAAGGTTCATGTAGCCATAATTCCAAACTAAGCATGCAATTGATGACCTGAATCTTCTCTTTTCTTCCCTTCTTTTACAGTATAAAAGCCAGAGGTTCAAAATAAAGAATGCCAGCTCCTTACTACACAAATCACATAGGAAAGTGAATGTGACAAGAAGTACCCACCTAAAAGACCTTCCCCATTCCATTTGCTAATCTAAATCTCAATTAACACTCCACTACACTTTTTAGCTGCTTATTAGCTTCTCTTACTTCAAATTCAACTATACAAATTTAGAGCATAAAACTAGATACCAGAAAAAAAAACACACAGAGAAACATTAATGAGCAAAAATTGGAAAGATCGTAGATGCCAATTGCTTTACTAAAACCTGCCTACATGTTCCAATAAAGAAAGTCCAACCACGTACTGTAGCTACTACTGTAATCCGTACCGACCAAAGGGTTTATCAAAACCCTAAAATTCCCTCACGGGATAATTAGACAATCACAAACAAATCACTCACCAAAACACACACACAAAAGCACGCATATCCACACAAATTAGCTCAAAATAGCACACACGATAGACAGATTACAAAGTCCGCATAGGTCGGGATAGGGATGCACTGACCGGTACCGAAGAGAAATGCGACCTTGCCGAGAGGAAGCGCCATGGGAAGCGACGACTGAATCGATTACGCAAAACGTCAAAGCATTGAATCGTTGAGAGATAGAGGGAAGGGGCGGATGAAATTGTGAATCGATGAAGAAAGGGAAAGTTGTGAACTTGGGGAAGAAGACTGGTTTTCCAGTCCGTAGTAAATAAATCTGATCGAAACTTTCAATAATGTCGCTGTCTCTGTTTCGGTGACGAGAAAGAAAACAGGGCAAAATTTTAATGCTGCGAGGAGTATAGCTGCAGAAGAGATTCGATAAGTTAGCTTAATTAAAACTGAAATATGTAACAAACCTTAACCCTAATTTCGCGACAATTTTGTAATTTCCGAAGGTATCGTGTCTCGATAGAATAACACAGGATATGCTATTCTTGACCCCCCAAAAATCATAGGGTGTAATTATTTTTTTTTTATTATATCCTTTGCTTATGCCGTGAAATCGTGTCCACCTTGCAAAATAGATACAATTCCAAAACTGTTATAATTGTGAATATAAAGTTCAAAAATTATTAACATAAAATTTTATAATTATAAACATATAGTTTTGTAATTGTGAATATTGAGTTCAGTAATTATGAACATAGAACCGTGCAAAGTGCACAGGTTCCACGGCATAACAATTGCACGTTAGGAATCGAGGACAATTGGCCATTCTACCAATTTTTTTTCCAATTATCTTGAAATGGGTTAAAGCCCAATAAGACTAAACCAGGCCACATATGATGATCTCTTCGGCCCAAACATCCTACGGGCTGAAGTATGGCCTGTTATGAAAACAAGATTCGACGATAAATGCTCGGAATTCATAATTATAAATTTATAATGAGTTAATACCCAAAATCGTCCTCGATTATAGTGGTTTTTCTCAATTTCGTCCTAAACGACTTTGGTGACCTAATATCGTCCCAGACTTTTATGTTTCGCTCAATTTCGTCCCATACTTTTGTGTTTTTGCTCAATTTAGTCCCTCATTTGTTATTCTATCCATTTGGTGTTAAATAAATAGACAATTAAGTAATTTTAATATTGGCATCTCTTTACTCATAGACATGTGAACTGCGAAATCCCTTTTTTTTTTACGAATTAGTCCCAGAATTACTCCTAAAACTGCAAATATAAAATTTGATTTGCAGGTCCGAGAGTAATTCTATGTGTAATTCGTACAAGAAAGAAGAATTTCGCACTTCACAAGTTGAAAGTAAAGAGAGATCAATATTGACATTACTGAATTGTCCCTAAATTTAACACCAATTTGACGGAATAACAAATGGAGGACTAAATTGAGCGAAACACAAAAGTCTGGGACGATACTAGGTCACCAAAGTCGTTTAGGACGAAATTGAGAAAAACCACTATAGTCGAGGACAATTTTGGGTATTAACTCAATTTATAATTGTAATACTTTCGTAATAATATTGAATAAAAATTAACCACATGTTTATATTTAATAATATATTATATTAAAAAAATTATATATTAATTTAATATAACAATGATTAATACATGCAAATCATATATAAGCATAATCTAATATAGGAAAATTTTCATTATTAATCATATATAACTTAGGGAATAACTAAATTTATAGAAACTTAATTAATTATAATTTCACCTTTAATATAAATATATAGTTTTTTTTTATAAGCATAATCTAATATATGAAATTTATAAGATTTTACTTAATGTGAATCTATATATTTTAAATAATTTCGATTTAATAGTAGTATACCTTAATTATAAAAAATAATACCTAATAATTTTAGAATTTTCCGCCCAAATAATAGTAAATAGTAAAGGTAAATTAGAAAAACAATTTATACTAAAATTAAAAACAAAATCATATTTACACTATTTCCCGCCTAAATAATAGTAAATAGTAAAGGTAAATTTAAAAAAGAATGGAAATAGAAAAAGGAACATAAATATTTCACAATAATATTCTACTTCATCAATTAAAAACAGAATGGAAATTAAGTAAATTGGAAATGGAAGTAAATTTTAATAATTGGCAGAAAATAAAAAAAAAAAATGATCTGTAATTGACTAAAATGAAAAATGAAATGGTCAGATCATTGCATTTTAATTTTTCACAATAATATTACACAGTATAATACATCAAATCGCAATTATATCATAAATCTTTCACAATTTTAAACAATGGAACGGAAATAAAAATGGAATGAAAAATATTTCAATAATAACATTGTACAACATCAAGTAAAGGTAAATTAAAAATGGAAAGAAAATATTTCAACAATAATATTCTACATCATCAATAGTAAAGGCATATTTAAACAATAGTAATTTAAAGGTAAAATAAAAATGAAACGAAAATTAAAAATGAAACGGAAATATTTCAATAATAATATTCTACATTATCAATTAAAAATAGAACAAAAATTAGGTAAAAAATGTCATTGCATCTGATATTCTAATTGACTAAAAAATTGTCTAATAATGATTATGATATTACTAATTGATTGAAAATATAAACGAAAATGAATATTAATAGTTGACTGCAAATAAAAAAATGATCCATAATTTACTAAAATAAAAAAATAAATGGTAAGATCATTGCATTTTAATTAAAAATAGAACAGAAACTAAAATAGGATGTAACTATTTCAATAATAATATTCTACATCATCAATAGTAAATGCATATTTTAAACAATAGTAAATGTAAATTAAAAATGGAACGAAAATATTTTAATAATAATATTATACATCATCGATTAAAAATGGAACCGAAATTAGGTAAAAATATCACTGCATATGATACTCTAATTGACTAATTGGCTAAAAATAAAAAAAGAATAATTGGCTAAAAATGAATCTGATATTACTAATTGACTTGAAATATAAAAGGATCACTAATTGACTAATATTCTACCATTAGCCACTCATCCTGATGGACTGAATGTATTAGCTCTAGACGATGATGGACAAGATTGTGTTGCTACTACCAATGTCATCTATAAAGAAGTTTTAATAATGTATAAATGCAATTGGTGATATTATGTTTTTTTTAATGACGGAATTGTTATATATCTAGACAAAAATATATCTTCCATACAAATGAACTAAGATAGCAATTAATCTTATAACTGAGTTGCTAGGAAATAAGGACATTTGCCTAATTTATAAAAAAATACTAAACAATGATAAATAAAATATTCAAAGTTACAGCACCGCATGCGTACATATATACATTAACTATTAATTTGAGCAATTATTTACTTAAATTCAAGCAATGATAACATACATTAAAACACATAAACAATTCAAACCATATATTCAATTTCACTATATATTATTTGATGTTCTAATTTAAATAATTATATATCAATCCAAATATTCAATCCATTCCGTGCATCGCACGCGCGAAAATACTAGTTGTTTCAAAAACTATAAACATTGAGCATTTGAACATTACAATATCTTATAATATCCTTTAATTAATTTCAATTCAAATTAAATATATGGAATGACTATATGTGTACACTCATTTCTAGGCTTTGATTGGTTATCAGTTTTCTCAATAATTAATTGTATCAAAAACTTATAAACATTAGTTAACTTTTTAGTTAGGTTTACTAAACATGCATATATAGCCTAACCTTTATCTAATATTAAGAGTGAGAATGGAACTTTTAATTAATTTTTGACAAAATGATATGATTAGTGACTTATTAAAAAAATGTGGAACCTTAAGAATCACTGTCTCGCTCGTATGGACTTGTAGAAAATGGAAACGTAACTTTTAATTAACTTTTGACAAAATGATTAGTGACTTATTAAAAAAATAATGTTGAACCTTAACCTTAATGACCACTGTCTCGCTCGTATGGACTTGTAGAGAAAAGAATCGAAATATATATCTTAGTGAATTACAAATTAAGAATAAATTAACACTAATATTTACAAGTGGTCAAACTAATTTTCACCGATTAACATATGTATTATGAGTTATACATGGCACATGTATGGTAGTGTAAGTTTATATAAACTCCATTATAAATGCTTGAAGCCTTGAACCAAACAAAACCATACAGGAACAATACACTTGGCATTTGGCAATGCATTTATCCAATTAATTAACTTAACCATGAGTTACGTTATTCAACTAAAGTTTTTTTTTTTATTTTATTTTTTTGTTTGCTGACTCGGTTACAATCGTTAAACATAGTTAAAATTACAATTTTATCCATCTATAACTATAACAATAAACAAGAGTTCCATAAGATAAATATTAATCTAAATAGGGTAAAGAAACCATTCCCACACCATTCCGAGTCCGTGTAGAATTCTAATTAATCTAACGGCCTCTCTAAATACATTCATGTACGTCCTCACGAATTTTTACACACGACAAAACAAATATATATCTGTTGTACTATAAGCTAATATAATTGTACGCCAAGTCGACACAACCATTTCGTGTCTGAGGTGGTGCATTTATGGCGGCATTATATTCATGAAATCAAAAGGCGGCGGCGTAGATTTGCATCTGGCTCAAGATGTTCTCAAAGTTGTCGGTGGATTTCTCGATGGGGTGAGAATGGATGCCTTCGTAGGTTGTCACCACAACTCCTTCGTCCTTTGACAGCCTCTGAACTTGCTTCTTCACGTTGCATCCTTGATGGGTGCACCTATAGTAGCTCCTATACATACATATATACATACATGGCATGGAACCATTAGAGAGAGACAGAGAAAGAAAAGAGGAATGAGCTGATGAAGATTGCTATATACTCAAAATTAGGTTTAAACTTAGTGCATCCTTACTAGTGGGATTTTTGTGGAATTTTTATAAGTGTGATTAGAAAATAGAAGATGGGAGGAAAGAGAAAAAAAAAAAAAAAAAAAGACAAAATAAGGTTGATTTCAAAAAAAAAAAAAAAAAAAAAAAAAAAAGAGTATAAACAGCTACAGAAACGCGCCAAGCGGGCGGGTGCACTGCACACGTCCGATGAACACAGTGGTGACAGCCACACCTGTGCGGCGCGAATGGCAAGGCAAAACAGTAGGTCTCACTTTTGCAAAAAACCCCATTTTGCATGAGGAACTCACACATTCTCTTTCTTTCCTCTCTCTCTTTCATGTTGACAATTGTTATCTCAACAACGGTGTAAAAAACCCCCAAAATATGCTATTGGTAATGGTTTGAATTTATTTTTTTTTCATCATATCATTTTTAAACTTTACCCCAACTCCAAAAACAATATTTAAGTCATGGATTTTATACTTATTACCAGTGATGCAAAATTTCCGCCTATGCGCCGATTAATCATCGCCTAGCGTATTACCATAATTGGTAGTCTAGGCGGCCGGCCGAATAGGCCGCTTAGACGCTGGCCGCCTAGGCCTCCTAAGTATAGATTAGGTCGCTTAGTCGGCCGATTAGCTATTTTTTTAAAATGAGTTATTTCACTCAAAATGACATCGTTTCAAGCAAAATAACCTTAAATTGTTCAAACTCCAAATGTTTTTAGGTTAATATTTAATATTTTAGTATTAACTATTAAAGTATTAAATAATTTATAATTATTAGTCATTTTTTCAACATGCTTTTTTTTGGGAGGATTTTCAACATGCTTATTACATCATCATGTCCGTCATATACCTAAAAATAGAAAACCCTATTTCGAGTTTCTATCCCTTAGCTTGTATTTTTTTCTCAGATTAAGTGATAAGTACAATACAATTTCCTTTCTAAATGACAACATAAAATCAGAAATTCTCAAAGTATATATCCTATAAACTCAAGAAATGGTAACAAGCTAAAAAACCGGTCGTGATGTTGATTTGGTAACAATAAGGTTTCAAGTTTTATTTTCAGTGTGTAGCGATCTATTAGCATTTTTGGTTTGAGTTGGCTGGTCACCTATGAGCAACGTAATTTAGACTAATTTACCTTCTTAGAGTCATTTGTCAATTACAGTCATAAGGTCGGGTTTATATATGGGTGCACAACTTTAGATCGTGGTTGTGAATTTTTCTCATTACAGAAAAAGAAAAAAGAAGTAATAACAAGAAAAGAAATTGTTTCCTACATGATTCATTAAAGCTATTAATTCCAGTGCTTAGAGATTGTGAAAATTTTAAATTTCTTATGAAATTCTTGTAATTTTTCACCTAACAACAACATAATATTAAATTCCGGGCTATAAAAATAGTAATTAAGTTCTTCATGGAATTGAAATAGTGTATGATATTTAAAAAAAAAAAAAACAATCATATTTATTGATGAAAACCTAGATGGGTGGTAATTAATCAAGTAAAAAAATGATCAAATACATATGAAAAAAAAATATTTATTAAAAAAAAAAAAACAAACCTTGGGAATCTATTGTTCTTAACAGCCTTCTGACCATATTTCCTCCATCTATAACCATCGTCAAGAATATCAACTTGGCTCCGAGTCTGGAAAGCAAATCTAGCCTTCTTCATCTTCTTCTCTCCCTTCTTCTTCCCCGCCGCCGCCGCCGACGGCGGCGGCGACTTCGCCGCGCCGATCTCCGTGAAACCATTATTATTATTCGCAGTGGTCGCAACAGCAGCGCAAATAGACTCACTCTTCATCATCTCCGAGCTGCAGGGAACCTCCACTACGCCACCGTCACTCATCATCTTCATCCCCAACAACCCACTCTCCATCCCACCACTGTTATTATTCATCATATTCATCAGCGAAAGATACGGCGGCGGCGGCGGCGAAGGGGAGGAGCATCGGAACATGGATGGATAGGCGTCCATGAGCGTATAGTAGAAGAGAGGGAAGAATATTGAGGTAGCTAGCTGGGTAGAGGGGAAGAATGGGAATGAGGTTTATTGGGGCTTTTATAAATGGCATGCGAGTGAGAGGGGCGGCGGCTTTATTCTATTTTTTTGGTCTAGGTTCATTATATCGACTATGCATTTTTAATGCCGTGAACGCCCAGAAAAGGTCAAATCACATCATTGAATACATGGAAACAATATAATCACACAACATTGTACTCCATAAGACTTAACTCAAAACATGCATGGAAAGACTTAACTCAATAATTCGGTAAATAATATTTTGAGAGAAAAAAAAAAAAAAAAAAAGACTAACGTTCAAATCTAGGTAACAGTGTGAGAATTATGTTCAAAGTAGACAAATTCTTTGTACACACCAGCATTTGACCCTGTCTGGAGAGAGATCAGGCAAAAAATGAAAGGGTAGTTGTGGAAGGTAGCCTCCATTTTTTTTTAAATCTAAATTGTTATTTTTTAAAATATAATTTGTAACTTTTAACCACTATACCAACTTTTCACTTGAAGTACTCATTATTTGTTGTCTAATTGCATGAATTTGGGTTGTTTAAGAAGTCAATTACATTTAATAATAATAAAAAAAAAAGTTAAATGACTCAACTGCATTTTTGATTCATGTGTGATTCAACGATTAATTTGAGATTTATTTGATTATAAAATTAATTATCTCAGTATATATTTTTATGGTTGAAAATACAAATGTCATTTTTAATGAGGTTTGATTGTTTGAACTCTTAAACATTGATCAAAGGCTCCATGCTTAAAGTCTTACCAACTATGTAAAATCATGAAGTTAATTTGGTAATACTAATGATTTCACCACACAATTCAATTTGCATGGGTAACGAAATTGGAAAACCACATTCGTGTTGAGTGTTGACAAGGATTTTGAATAATAATTATGAATTAAAAAAAAAAAGTTATAGCTTCAAATTACATATCTTTAAATGGTGTTATTCAATATATCAATCCCCTTAAATTTAGAGTATTATTATAAATTATCATAATCAAACATAATTATTATTTATTACGTAACGTTTAAATCAATTTGTTAGTTGAGTTTCATTTCAAGCGTAATCAGTAATCTTTTGATTTAGTGTCTAAAAAGAAGACTCAAAGTTGTAATTTTGAAATTAAAAATCGTATTATTGAAATCTATTTTATATGAGTGGAGCTTTCATAATCATGGTTTTGAATTTTCAAGATTTTTAGAATCTAAAGTCGTGCATGGAAATAATTTATTTTTTTAAAGAAAAAATTAATAAATAAAACAGCAATAGCTTATGTCACTTTTGAATTTACTTGTTTCATGATAATTTGAATAATCTACGCTACCTAATTATAGTATTAGTTGGAATAAATGTGAAACTCTAATAATTTCCCCTTGTTTTAAGCGTTTTATTGAAGTAATTAACCGTGTTTAAGTACTAGGTGCAATAAAACAAGAGAAATGTATATAGTCCTTATATTGTTTTAAGCGTTTTATTGAATTCATTGACAAAACTTGCAAAGGAGAGAAAATTATATAACTAAGTTTGCCGGCTATTAGACAATATCAAAGTTTACTCAATATATACTTTGAGGTAATGATTGTTGGTTTCACTCATCATTCAAAAAAAAAAAAGTATATAACCCAAATTCGTATTCACAATATACATAGTCGTTTAATTTATTTTCTACAAATTGAATAGTTTGTATTTAAGTCAACACATTGCTCATGCAATTGCAAGGTCGATACGATCAGACTAAATCTGAATTAGTTTTATAGTGGCGAAGATAATAGATGCATATATAAAAATAATTTGAACTTAAGAAGACAATTATTTATTGGTTAATTGTATAATATAATTCACACTTGTGAGTTTAGCTAGCACTTTGAAACAATTGGTAAATGTACTATCAATACAATTGCAAGGTTTAAGGTTCGAACTAACTTTGTAATGGGTACATCATTTTAAGAAACATTAATCCAAACCATCTGAATTATTAGTCTCATAATGGTAAAAACAACGACTATCATATGCCAAAAAGACATTAAGACTGAAACGCGTATAATATTATATTACTCTTTTTCCATTTCTATCTACCAATTAACTACACATTTTTCTTTTTCTTTTTTTCATTTTTGCGCCTACTGACTGTAACACGGAATTGAATTGTTGGTCAAGCCGTCAATGCACGTGGATTTTAATTCCAATTAACATATCTTAGAATTATCTTTTCTATAAAGCCAAAATGAAATAGGACTCCTCCATATTTAGTACTTCATCCATGGAATTCTAAACTCACTATTTTTTTCTTTTTAAATATACCGTTCAATATTTTTATTACTATAAAATTAATCTGATTCAATTCAAATATTACCAGTAAAATTTACCTCTTACTTAAAAGAAAACCTGATTTAGAGCTTTTTAATATAGCACACCATTTTGAACTTTAATTATTCGATATTGTTTTTTTCCCTCAATTCCAAAAATGGGTAATTATAAATTTTTACATAATAGTTTTGGCTTGTAATTATTATTATTATTAAATAATTAGTAATTAATAATTAAACCAAGGCTAGTATAAGATAATGCATCTAGAAAGACTAGAATGATGAGAACACAAAATTAATTAGAATTATAAATTACCAAAATAAGATAAATTGCACAATACAGTCAAAGAAGACACCTACCCAAATATAATAAAATTTTGTTGTGCATTATTTCTGTTCAGACAACTGCCATAGACTTAACCATATGCATAGCAATTGCAAGGGAAAATTGCATAAATATATAGAATCTAGAGTCAGTAGTACTATATATATATATATATATATATATATATATATATATATATATATATATATATATATATATATATATATATATATATATATATATATATATATATATATATTAGAGAGAATTAATTGGGATATTTATATTTATAATTTTTTTTTTTAAATATGAGTACAACAATACAATTATAATATTTTGTAGCGACTAGAAAAATCTACAATCACTACTTGACGGTGTACATGAGATAAAGTGATAAACCTTATTATTGTGTAATAGTCCACAAATCACAAAAGAAATGTAAACCGGTAAGGTTATAATATTTTAAAATTACAATTATGTGCAACCAATTACAAATATTAAATGTTCCTAAAATAATTAAACATATATTCTTAACGCTATTAAATGTAATTGATGTTATGATGGTCCACAAACTAAAACTTCAATTCCTAACAAATTTAAGTTGCTTTAGCATTTTCTTAGGTTAGGTTCACTATAATGTGACATGTGGGGATAGAAATTTCGAAGACATAAAAAGAAAAAAAAAAAAAAAAAAAAAAAAAAACTAATAACTAATTGTCAAAACAACTAATACAATAAGCTATCAGCTAACAATTAATAAATAATTGTGAAATACTCTAGAATTCATCTTCTCCCGTTTATGGAGGATTGTTTGTGATCATTATTGACAATTTCTTTGTTTCTTAAATATTTTCTATATCCTACTGATTAAAAAACAATAAGAATTTTGTCATAATTAATACACAATATATTTTTTATTAAAACTAAAAGCACAATACAACCGATCGATAATCAAAGAACTTAATGTATATGCTTAACAAACTATAATACTAAACAAGAAATAAACTAGTCATGTATAAGGGATATATTTTAATTCTTGCTAATACTTTAATAGGAATTAAAACAATAATGATCTTTTATTCATCATAAAACATTCTGTAATTAATTCAACTCACTCGACTGAAACTACATCAGTAATCGTGTTGTTACAAATTAATTGAGCGTAACGTTAGAGGTAGATCGAGATAGTGAGAATGAATGCTCAACCAATCCCCACTGAATTTCAAATAGGAATTCAATGGACATGGAAAGTATGCAGCGACTGACTATTCCTGGTCAAAAATAGTGGACTAATAAACTCGTGCACACGGCTAGTGGTTTGGAATTTATGAGATAAAATTAATTTGAATTATTTTATTATATTGTTTGATAAAATTTTTCCACTAATACTCGTTTTCTCGTTTGCCTCCTGATTTGGCTGTATTACGTGGGCTGAATAGTCATTGTGAATTGAAATTTTGAAAGCATCACTACTTATCCTTTTTGTTTATTTGTTTTTTATACTAACTTTTCACGCGCATTGCAAAAATAAGATAATATGTAATATTTATTTTTAAATACGTACTTCAAAGTATATCAATATAAAATTATATATGAGATGTTCATGCATATGTAATTAAATATTAAATTTGTTTATTTAAATCGGTGATTCAAAGTATATGAATGTTTGAAAATTTTGTAAAAACACTAGTTTAAATACTTAGTTAAAAAATAACAGTTTAAATAAATATTACTTTTGATTTGAATTTCTCTATTTTGTTGTAATTCTTTTTTTGTGTAGCATTGTCATTGTCTTCATCTCCATTAGTTATCATCTTCTTTTTTTTTATTGGTAGTGTGTCATATGTAATTGGATTAATGGTAATAGCATAGAGGGCAACGTCATGTAATGAGATTATGGTGTAAGAAGCTTTGGATTTGTCTTGTTGTGTGTATCACTAGGATCTTGGTTGTACTATGAACTCTTGATCTTCCAAGCGCTTGTTGATATTTGGCAATGGTAATATAATTTTTTTCCTACATGTTTCATGTGTTGTAAGATGCGTGTCGTAGATTCTCATGTGAAAGTATTGAACAAAATATTAATATTTACGGAGTGTTATATTTGTAGAAGGTTCATGAGTATTACCTCTTGTTCTAGTTCAATAACTTGTTGACTTGATAGTAACAATAATGACTCTACAAGTAATCCAAAAGTGTAGAACCAACACCCTTATGTCCCCTCTTGTTTTAAATTTTTTGTTTTGTTTTGATTTTCTTGTTTCAATATGTTTGTGTATATATATATATATATATATATATATATATATATATATATATATTAAAAATTACTATATATATAAAATCAGTCTCAAATAAGCAT